GATGCAAAAAGAATAATTTTATTATTTGTATTTCAAATTCAAGTATGTTTTAAGGATATATAAAGTAAATTACAAAATCAAGAAGATAAGTATGTTTTATAAAAATTAAGTAGAAAATAATAGGGAAATAGGGATAGCAAAATAAAAAAAGTTGTATAAAAATTTTACTATCGTTGAAATTTTTAATTCGATTTATATCAATAAATCGATTTACATCTGATAAAATATTAAATTTATCCTAACGGATAAATTTATAACGAGATGATTTTGCTCTCGTTTTTGCACTTAAAGTATGTTAGAAAATAAGTATCTAAACTTTTTGTAGGGATAGTAAAATAAAAAAAAGTATTATAAAAATTTTACTATTGTTGGAGTTTTTAATTAATAAATAAATCAACATCGTTAGGATAATATTGTAACGAGATGATTTTGAATTTAAAGTATAATTATCTTTCGGCGGTCCAATTATTACACCGATAGTTTTGAGGAGATATCTAGTCAGCAAGCCAACCATTCTATTCACATAACGCGCCCATTATAATAAAATACTTTAATTTAATTATAACAACAGTCATTAATAAAAATAATAATAATAAAATAAAATAATTTACCAATCATCTCCTCATTTCTACATTTTATCAAAATAATTGCTACCTTTAAATCCCCAATAAAGTCTAAGCCGTCATCATCAGGGACCATCCTATAAATTGTAAATAAATTAAATTAAGAAAAAATAGTAAAGAACAGAGTCGGACGTTTACAGCAGGTTGCACGCCTGGTAACGTTCGCCACAATTCAACACACACTCTTGAGAAAATTGCTCACCTCACTATACAGAAATTCATATCCTCTCCGAAGAACACCTCTTTAACTTCCTTTTCCAAAGGATTGTCTTAACATTAGACAGCATAATGGACACTCATTTTGTGCAACAGTCATTTGTATAATAGTCAGGCGGTTACACAGAGCCAGTTGCTTCTGAAACTTCACTAGAATATAGCTGTAGCATCTCTAAGTCCAGATCATCAGCAAGATCAAAATTATCTCACACTTTTATAATCAAACTTTTGCAAGAACTTTCACCA